TCAAAAAGACACCTGCACCCCAATAATACCCTTCGTAGCAACATAAATAGACCTAGAGGTTGTCATATTGAGAGAAATAAGTCAGACAGAGAAAGACAAATACCATACAGCATCACTTATATGTGGAATCAAAAAAAAAAAAGATACAAATTCTATTTACAAACCAAACACGGACTCATGGACATAGAAAACAAACTATGGTTTCCAAAGGAAAAAGGGCAGGGAGGGAAACACTGGGGGTTGAGGATGAACAGATACATACTACTATATATAAAAAAGATAAACAACAAAGACCTACTATGTAGCACAGGGAACTGTATTCAATTTCTTGTAATAACATAATGGAAAAGAATCTGAAAAGAAAAAATATATGTGTATGTTTATATATATAAAACTGAATCACTTTGCTATACACCTGAAACTAACATAGTAATTCAACTACATTTCAATGAAAAGTCTTGAAAAGTTAAGATGAGTTTCATAGATGAGTAAACAGAAGCTTTAAAAGAAAATGAAATGGTAGTTGTTCATACGTCTATCTCCCAGGTGAACTTGAGGTTTCACAGAGAATGTGAACCATCACCTGTTCATCTTTAGCTTTCCAACACCCAACCTAGTGCCTGACCCGGAGCAGTGTTTAATGAATGCATGTGGAATCAGATACCTAAGTGTAATAATCTACAACTTAACTTCACTATGGGTCCATCATTACTTCTACTTGAGGATAATTATTTATTTTTGGAATCTTCTCCCAAAATATAGAACTTTTTCCTGCCTCAGATAAGCACTCTGTTGTCTGAAGAACATGATGCTTAAAAATACAAAAACGTAAGAAGCATCACGAGCCCAGGCGCCAGTCTTCATGGAACTTGAAAACATATGGGAAGCCTGAACCAGAAAAACAGACACCGACAGGAAGGAGCGGCTCCTGGGAAAATATTGCTGAGGAGTGTGAAGGAGCCCCCAAGACTGTAACAGAAGGCAACTGGTCAGTTCACAGACCAGAAGGAAACATGTTTCATTTTGAAGCCAAGTTGCTGGTGTGCAAGTAAAGGAGAAACGAGACATGGAGGAAATAGGGAGAGAGAAGTCAGGATAAGGAAGGAGAACGGAGCAGCACAGAGTAGAAGGAATAGCAGCAAGACAGTGGCAGTAAAGAAAGAAAAAAAAAAGAAGTGGGAGTCAAGTTTAAATGGCATTGCAGTGCTCACCTCATTCTGCGGGGCATCATTGTGCCACAGTGAAAAGTAGGATTTAGGAAACAGTATGAGTACGCAGATGGCTTCATATACCTCAACAGAAAACATTCAGAGAGAAGGCAAGCTAAATTCCATTCTATTTGGTTGTCTCAAAGCCCATCAATATTCACCGTCATGCTTAAGGCAACCCAGCAGCTGTCTGTGGCCCATTCACCACTGTACAGAGAAAAGTTCACCATAATAGGGTAACGTGCCGATGTTGGTGGAGCTGTAATCAGGTGTTACCTATAAACTGTCCGACTGCCAGTAAACGCCTCGCCGCATTCTGTACAAATTGGAAGCAGCAGAGGATTTTATGTGCAAAAGTTGCTGAGTTCTGTGAGACTGAACATTAGAAGGCTGGGTGTAACTGGTTAAAACATGACAAAAACAGAAAGCTGTGAGGTGACAGAATAATTCTGCAGATTTCTCCTCTCCCCACTGAAAACGGTCTAGCCCCTTAAACAGTTTGTTTTTTAATGCTGGTGAAATTGGCCTATTTTGGCAAAGCTTGCTAAATTTTAGCCCTGCAGGGGCCAGTGAATCAAGTGCCTGAGGGCTTAAGAAGGAAAGGCTGACTGCTGCTATCTGTGCAAATATTTTAGGCTTCAACAAAATGAAACCCACAATGATGGAAAAATTTCCACTCCTCTAGAGCTTTCTAAGGTCTCACTCTTTCTATGCTGTTTGTGGACTGTAAACTCTTTCATAAAGGGACACAACATTGTTCAATTCTCTTGACCATTTTGTCACTTTATTTCTTGATCCCAGACCCCAGAGAGATAGACTTGAGTAAGCTGTCCCTCCAGAGAAAGGGCAGAGGAGGTTGTTCTGGGGAGGATTTTAATATTGGAAGCCCGCATCCTGGGAAGCCATCAGTCCCTGGTGAACCAGGATTTTGCTCACCCTCATTCCTGATTTATTTGCGCCCCACTCCCCCTTTCCAGGGACTTTTTGCAGATGTACATCAGAAACCTGAGAAGTAGGGAAATGCAGTCGATCCAACCTAAGGAACGTAATCTCCAAAAGGAAGGACTGGGGAGCATTTTGGATATAGGCTGGTGGTCCTCAACCTTGGCTGTGCATTAGAATCACCTGGGAAGCTTTAAAATTACCTGTGTCCCACGACCCCGGAGCCTTCAGGTAATTGTTCTGGGGTGTGGCCTGGACAGGTTCCCAGGTGAGCCCATGTGTAGGCAAGACTGAGAACCACTGACATAGGGAGACACTGAAGTGTTCCTCCTGTTTGCTAAATTAAACCTTCAACATGACTATATTTTGAGTTCATGAAACTGATGCCTATTTAACACAAATTACTGATAGAAGAATATTTAACTTTCACCGTATTTGATATTATCAATCACACAAAATAGGCTGGAAGAAAGACAACAGGAGCTAGTTGAACAGAGTTCCCATTCTGTCTTCAACAAAATGAAAACACGTATCTCTTTAGTTATTAATCTGATTCATTGTAATTAAATGATGTGAATTACGCATTTTCATCATGAAGTCTTTTAAACACATGACCCTTTCATAGTTCATATCTAATTGTTAACTTACCTTAATTTTTTGATGAACAGTTTCTGTTCCAATTGACTAAGTATGCCCTTCAGAGTAAGTTTTAGTCTCTACTTAGCTCACTTGTAACTCAACAGAGTCATCAAGTAGGGCGATACTGAGAATATTTTACAAGTACAGGCACTGACCGGTTACCACGGATGTGGCCCTGACTCTAGATTACCCCCTACTAGGGTAGAATTAACACATTAATTGCTGAGTCAAAATGCAGTCTTGGGAATCCTCAACCACATCTAAAAAGGATCCCGGGGGAGCTTTAGACAATGCTGTTTACCAACCAGAACAAATGCTTTAAAATATTTAACAATTGATATCATTTTGCCAATTTGCATCCACCAAATCCTAGCCCCAATAAAGACTGCCTTAAAGCTTCTAATTTAAAATGTCCACAATCAAAGAATCTTGGTAGAGTCAGTGTAGGAGGGTATCAGTCCAACTCTGCACCCAATGTGTGAGACTATTTTATAGCTGTCACTGTGTTTTGCATGGGGAAACCCTGGACTTTGAATTCAGACAGATCTGGATGTGAATTCCAGCCTTGTCACAAGTTGCTGTAGAGTCTTGGGTAAATTGCCTCTTCGAGCCACCGTTCCCACCATTGCTTAGGTTTTATGAAGATTAAATGGCCACAGGGGTCTAGGCTCTTATTAGGTACTTTATAAATGGTAGCTATATTTATCATGGTGGTGACAATTTTTCAGCTTCTGTTGAGGTAATTTTATTGCTCACTACGCAGCTATTCATCTCTAATTGCTAGAAAGTTACACCTTATTATAGTTGGTTGTACTTTTTGTTAAAATATTCACTGTCCTTCTCCGGGGAAGGAATACTTACCTCTATCCAACCGACGTCAGCCTTGACCATGGGATTTGCTTTGTCCAATGAAATGTGAACAAAAGTGCATCGGGTCACTTTCAGAGACTAGCTTGAAGCATCAAAATTGGATTCTGCCCTGTGCTATTTTTTTTTTCTTTGCCCCAAGACTATCAGCATCTCAGATAGGGATGACTTCTGAACCAGCCTGGGCACCAGAATGAAGAGCACATGGAGGCAGTTGACTTACAGTGGATATATACCGTGAATGAAATGTGTAATTTTGTTTTGTTTTTTTTAACCTCTGAGTTTTAGAGTTTTAGATTCTGACGACATAACATTCTACACTTTCCAAGACAAAAATTGGTACAGGGGTGCTGCCATTACAAGAAACCCTGGCAGAGCACATGCTTAGCATGCACAAGGTCCTGGGTTCAATCCTCAGTATTTCCTCCAAAAGTAAATAAATAAATAGACCTAATTACCTCCCCTCCCCCCACCAAAAAAAATTGAATAAGTGTGAAATGGTACACTTATTACAGTCAAAAACTTCAAACTGTATACACACACCATACCATTGAGTGAAAAAGCATATATACACTATGGTATATATGGTATGACAGAGCCATTTTATATTTATGTATTATTTGTGTGTGTGACTTCATACCAAAGTGCTAATGACATTTATCTTTGGGGACTAGTGCTGGGATGAAGGCCGAATTTATCTTTAAACACATTTGATATTTTAAAAATTATTTTTATTATGAGTACAATGATTTGGGTAATAGAAATTAAAGTTATCCATATTAATTTTAGAAAAATTGAAACAGAAAAAATACACTCCTATAACACAGGTATAACTATGTTCCTAAGGGGCTGCATTTCCCACTCCAATTTTTTGCTTACCTATGTTTGGACATACTTGATATCATATCGTACAGATATTTTATAACCGGTGTTATTGGGTCTCATCCATCAATTCATTTATTTGACATTCACTACCTTTGTTATGGAAAACTCTGGTTCCTAATGCAGTAAGTGCAAGAAGAGGAAAAAAATATTGAGAAGAAATCTGCCATCCAAACACATTTTATTTACCTAATTTATTCATTCAGCAAGTGTTTATTGAGGGTCTTTTATGTGATGTGCTAGGCACTGTTCTAGGTGTGACAAGCATGTACCGGGCAATGTTCTTAATGGAAATTGAAATCATCAAAATCCATTTGACAAGTCTTAGTCTTAAAGTGAATAAAGGCATGTCTGGTCTTCAGATAACCTAACAGGGCTTTAGCACACTGTGGTTAAATTTTTTATATGACTAGGGGTTTTGTTCTCTTGAGTTAAGGTCACAATCATTTAAATTTCTTCCAGTGAACATATGACCTCAAACCCACGCCAGCTGACTTAATGAGCAGAAGATAAATTGTTGTGTTCATCGATGGAAGAGAAGAGGATTAACAAAAAGACGCATGTAGCCAGGAAGTGAATTCAATGATCACCTCTGTTCCAGGCGCTAAAAAGTGGGATGAAGACAAAGACCAAATGGAAGAGAAGTCAGAAATTACTATCAATGATAATACGGTAACTATAAACAGATTCTTTCTGCTCTTTGCTTTCATATTCTCAATTGCTCCTCTTTCTTGTATTGGGGAATTGGCTTCCCTGATGACAACTACAGGTGTTGATAGGTTGGATGGAGCCAGAGATCACGGTGACAAAGGAGAGGCCGTGGTTCAGGAACCAGGCAGGTCCTGGCAGGGGACTGGGGCAAGGCAATGAGAAAAGTCGGCACGCCAAATTTCAAGGGAGGGACTGAGACATCAAAAAATACAGTAGGTGGTAACTGTAGATGGGATACAATGTGAGGACTGTGTCTGCAGGGCAACGCACTGGCTCAGTTACTAGAGCAGAGCATGAGGCTGGGGAGACACTGAGTTCCTGGCTTGACTCCTTTTTTGTCGACCTGTTGATGATCTGGTCCCAGAGTTACTTATGTGGCTTACTCTGCAAATGGAACTCACCCTACTCAGCTATGGAACGTAGCTCTGGGGGAAGCTCATTAAATAGGGCAGTCATACCTCTCAGTGGTATAAAATCCAGGACTTTGCAGGGAATTGGAAGACCATCCTAGATTTTCTGGCTACTAGTTGGGACCAGCTACCTTCTCTCTTTGAGCTGTATTTCTCCCCCACACTGTGGTGCTATTCTGAGGATCCCCTTTTTCCTTTCTTTCCACTTTCATTTTGGATTAAAATGAGAATTATGTTGGAAACATCATGATGCTAATTATGAGATCATTAATTATAAATTGATATCTGTGTCAAACAAAAGCTGACAACTGCTTGCCTTCTGTGAAGGGTTTTTAGATGATTTTATACTCGGCTCACACTGGGCCCGTTAACTAGATAAATTGGATTCAATATAAAAAGCATTTTATCCTCTCAAAACAGGATGCAAAGCCACTACCTGCTCAAACCCAGGGACTCCGTTCTGAGCCTTGGATATGTTGGGGTGCTCTGAAGTTGTACCACGTACTGCCTGCTTGACTGTGGGTCGTAACTTTGTACACCTTCATCATGTTATTGGTCAAATTTAATTTCCCAAAGGTCAGAAAGCTCAAAGTATTTCATGTTTGCATACCTTACCCTTGAAAAGAGAAGATGGCAGTCAATTTCTTTTTCCATTTTATTCAGTTTATCCTTTGGAATTTCCCAACTGGTGATAAAGAAAACTGCATTTGTTATAAGTGGAAGGAACTTAATTGAGCGTATTGGTTTTGTTCTAGATGGCTATTTGTAAGTATGCAGAAACCAAATGCCACTTGGGAAGTAAAAATCACTTTTTCCAGTGCAGTATTTTTAATTATGTCTTTTCACCTGAGCTCCAGGGCAAAAGTTCCATTTTTCCTCCCTGCTCATTATTAGCAAAACCCACAAGGACCGGGTTTTCTAATTTCATATTTTTAAGTGAATTTAGCATGCAAAGTATTCTGAAATGACATTAGATGTGTAGTTAAGAAAAGACCTAGGCTCTGGAATTTCTTTGCTTCACACAAATCTTTATATTCTACCTAGTCTGACTGCCCTCCGTTCACATAGAAATACTTAACCATACAGCCTGCATGTTACTCGAAGTGTGTTCAATGGCTTGTTGTGATTATTGTTTTTTTTAACTGAAGTAGAGTCGATTTACAAAGTTGTGTTGATTTCTGCGGTACAGCATGGTGATTCATATATATATATATTCCTTTTCATATTCTTTTTCATTATAGGCCATTATAAAGTACTGAATATAGTTCCATGCACTATACAGTAGGTCTTTGTGGTTTATCTATTTTATATATAGTAGTATCGGCAAATCTGGAACTCCCAGTTTTATCCCTCCTCACCCCTTTCCCTGCTGGTAACCATAAATTTGTTTTCCATGTCTGTGAGTCTTGTGATTTTTGTCTGCATGCTACATACATCTGAAACATGGTCACCATGATGATATATATATATATATATATATATATATATATATATATATATGCATATGCTCTTGTTTTATATATATATATATATATATATATATGCATATGCTGTTGTTTTTGTTTTAATTTGTGTTGAGTGTGATGTAGTGCACCAGGCAGACTTGCAAACATTTTGAAATTAATTAACCTGAACACAGTTGAATTCCCCCGTCTGGGTTCCTTAATAATACCCTAGCAAAGACGCTAAATAATAAATGAGAGGAAAATGGAAGTGGTGAGATTCCAAGGAGAGAGAACAAGGATTCATGCCTCCTGTGTCTATAACCCCCATCCTGCCCCTGTTTCCCTCTGTGAACTGGAGTCCGCCACGCTCGGCTCTCGTTTCCCTGGCTTTGGCAGGAGAGTAATTGCAAGCGCAGGCAGGGCTGTCGCGAGGGCGAATGAAGGCCTGTCATGTTCTTTGGGAGCCTCGAGTGAAACACACTATGCTGCGTGTGGAAATTATTATTAGTTCATTCTTCATGCACTTTTAATCCTTGCCCTCTAGGCTCAGACTGCCAGCCAAGGCACCAATGACTGTCAATGGGGCTGTTGGTTCTTGTGATGTGAACACCTGTCCTCCAGCAAATGAACTGAGATAATACGTACCAATTTACTATGTGTCATATACCCTACAAACTGAATCTCCAAAATACACTCTGAGTTGAAAAATAAATGACACTGGGTTTAAATGACAGGAAATAGATGCCATACAATTGGTTGGGCATATGTGTCCACCCAGGCCTTTGTCCACCCAGTCTGCTGCTGAAACGCCAAGCCAGACCTCCCTCCGCGTTCTCAGGGCTGACTACGGGGCCATCTGTATGGGGAAAGTCACTGCAGAATGGCTGGCTTCCCTGGGACAGCCTCGGGCTGATTAATTCAGTCAAGCCAGGACTTGGCAGACCAGGGCCCATGCTGCTCATCAGAAAAGACAAAATTGCATCTGGATGCAATTCCAGGGGCCCTCAAATTCATATCGAAAGAAACATTCATTAGGCCCTGGATGACGTGCCTCCTATGAATTGTTGCCCTGAAACTTCCTCTCCTAATTGCAGGGTGAAAAAGGGAAAAAGAAATAGTAGTCTAGGGTGGTGGCTGAGGGAATGAGCTTTGAAGGTCAGACGCTGGTGTGAATCTTGGCTCCACTTTTGCTAGCTGTGTGACGTCTGGCAAGTTACAAACTATCGTTTCTCGAAACTTCAGTTTCCTCATCGGCCTCTAAGCTAGGACCACGCCTAACTTGCTCACCGTCGTGTCCCCAATGCTTTGCGCATTACTTGGCACACAGTAGGTGCTGATAGTTAATGGATGATTCGAGGTTTTTCTGGAGTTGTTTTCACTGCTTGTTACAGCTACTGATTTGCCAGCCGGGGAAGGCAGTGGTGGTGCACAGCCATCTGTACCAGCTCACTCCTGTGCTTTGCTTCCCTTGCATCTCTATGGGAACAACCTCTGGGAGAGGGAGGAAAGGGCTGCTTCAGTATTTGGACTGCTCTGCCTGAGCGCCCTGCCAGCAGGTGAAGCCTAATGCTGAAGCTTGTTTCGTGCGGATCAAACCTCCTCCCTCAAAGAATGCCTAGGGCACAGCCAGAGCGTCATATTTTGATGTATTTCACTTATTCATAAATTTATGAAATTGTATATATGTGGGATTTTGTAGTCTCCAATGGCTTCCTTTCAGTTTAATGACATGATCCTCAAATACATATGGGCCTATTAACATCCGTGGCTGTATCTGATGGGCACATAAGTGGGTATCATTTTCCTCTCTTTTCTGTTTTAATTATATGTTAATCAGTCGGAAAACTACACCGATCCAGATACCTATTGTCTCTTTCTTTACCTTTTGAAAATTAAAGTATAGTTGATTTACAATATTACATTAGTTTCATGTGTACAATGTAGTGATCCAGTATTTTTAAAGATTATCCTCCATTTAAAGATAATGGCTATATTTCCTTGTGTTGTATAATAGATCCTTGTTGCTTATCTATTTTGTACTTAGTAGTTTGTATCTCTTAGTCCCGTATCCCTGTCTTGCCCCTTCTCTCTCCCCTCATAGTTACCAGTTTGTTCTCTATATTTGTGAGTCTGTTTCTGTTTTGTTGTGTACATTCATTTGTTTTATTTTTCAGATTCCACATGTAAGTGATAGCATCGAATATCTGTCTTTCTCTGTCTTATTTCACTAAGCGTAATACTTGCTAGATCCATCCACTTTGTTGCAAATGGCAGAATTTCATTCTTTTTATGGCTGAGTAATATTCCATTATATATATATATATATATATATATATATACACACACACACAGAGTCATCTGTTGATGGACCCTTTGGTTATTTCCCTATCTTGGCAATTATAAATAATGCTGCTATGAACACTGGGGTGCAGGTATCTTTTCCAATTAGTGTTTTCATTTTCTTCAAATATATACCCAGAAGTGGAATTGCTGGATCATATAGGAGTTCTATTTTTAGTTTTTTGAGGACCCACCATACTGTTTTCCATAGTGGCTGTAGCAATTTACATTCTCACTAATAGTGCACAAGGGTTCTTTTTTCTCCATATCCTCGCCAACATTTGTTATTTGTCTTTTTGATGATAGCCATTCTGACAGGTGTGAGGTGGTACCTCACTGTGGTTTTGATTTGCATTTCTCTGATGATTAGTGATGTTGAGCATGTTCCTATTGGCCATCTGTATGTTTTCTTTGGAGAAATGTCTGTTTAGGTCTTCTGCCCATTTTTTAATTGGGTTTTGTTGTTGTTGTTATTGAGTTGTATGTGATGTTTATATGTTATGGATATTAATCCCTTATCAATTGTATCACTTGCAAATATTGATTCCCCTTCAGTAGGTTGTCTTTTCATCTTATCCATGGTTTCCTTTGCTGTGCAAAAGCTTTGACATTTAATTAGGTCCCCTTTGTTCAGATACTACCTATTTTCTTTGGTTGTGTCCATTTCTAACATCGTGACTGAGGAGAAGGGTGGATAGGGGAATACATCCCCAGGGAAATAGAAGCAACGCTATGAGAAGAGACAACAGCCCTACAGAAACGCCAGTATTCTGTTCACAGACATGGATGTATTATTCTACCCATGTTAATTTTGTCATTCTTCCTCAATTAATGTCTAAACCCTAAAAAGACGAAGTCTTAGCTGTCTATTTTTACTTTCTCTGTAACCCCACATGATCTCTGAACTTTAAGGTCAGTTAAATAGCATCCTTAATTTCCCTTTGTCATGTAACCTTAACATACTCCCAAGTTCTAGGGATTAAGACATGGGCATTTTGGGGGGGCAGTTATTTTGCAGTATAGGTATTGTAATCAAGGATAATGTTGCTAAATGGCTGAGAACTGACAATTACTTGGTAAATATACATAAAGCCGTGGCTACCTGTGGTTGTTTGAAGTCATAAGATAGAACAAATGGCAGAGTCACGTTGATTCCCATGGCCTGGCACCATGTCTCATGCTACCTCTAGCTGTGGGGACTTGGGCAAGTATTTGATTTTTTTCACTCTCAGTTTAGTCACCTGTAACATGGAAATACTCAACATTGGTGCTAATTACCTTTCAGGGTTATCGAATGGATAAAATCAAATAATGAAGTGTTAAGGATATATATGTATATAAAACTTCATTCTTTTTTTTTCTCTGTGATGTTATCTACACACTAGAGTATATAGGTTGGTAGTAAGGTCATCGATTCAATCTTGCCCCAAATTACTCTTTTCATTGGACCATGCCTTCTGTGGCTGTGTGTACATCTGTGAGCTTGTAATTATCCTGTGAATACAGAGTCAGCTAATTCACTTTCCCATTGAGAAAGTAATGCAGCATCCAAAGAGGTACACCTTACCTTCTTCATTTCTTCACCAGTAAGAACCATTGCAAAATATTCAGTAATAAATGGGTAAAATTAAGATATCCATTTCTGCCGATTTAAAGTCCTATGTTTTCAGATACGTGTATGCCTATATGCATGTTTGTTCTATACTATGAAGTTTTTCTTCTACTTAATCTTCCATAGCGTATCACAGCATGGTCTTGCCATTCTAGCTTTTCAGCTAGAATGTGCCACAGATATAAAGAACAATGAATCGAGGGTATGAACATTGTATCGAGGGTTTCTTATTTCAATAAGAAACTCACTAACAGAATGAACATATAAAATTGTTTTTTTTACTTTTGTTGGGGGTTCAGCTTGGTGCTCATTGCCTGACCATCTTGGCTAACTCCTAAGGCATCCCTGGCTAAGTAGCAGCTGTCTCTCCCAGTGGCAGCTGGAAGCTCTTCTTCTTCTTTTGGCATCTGTGGAATGGAAGAATTCATCTTATTCCATGTATGTTTATTTGAGATCAGAATATTATAGATACCCAAAGACTTTGTAACTTTCTACATTTTTTATTCTTTTTGCCTGCTTTTACACATGCTTCACTATTTAGATATGTTTAATTAAATGCATTCCTGCAAGTTTATCCTGGAGGATGTACACACAAATATATGTGCTGTTATTTCAGATCAAATTATGATACTTGTCCCATTTTTAATATGCTGGTTTCAAGAGATCATAAATTTGTTGGTTGAAAGCTGATCTTTTTTTCCAGCAAAGCAATGCAATCAGAGAAAGCTGTCACTTGTAATAAAAATGTTTTCACATTCAAGATAGGAGCCTACGAACATTCCATGGATTTTGAAAACATGCTATGCCATGCTAAACACAAGCATAAGAGT